CCTCAGCAGGCACCGAGCCACCTGAACATTAGAAACTCTGACACAGGTCACCTCCCTGCTGCTGTTTCGGAGCCGAGGACTTCGCAGGCATCCTAACGGGATGAATTACAGCACTTCACAAGACAAGAAGACTGCTGTCATCACGTAGTGAGAGGTGCGAGGGGTCACAGGCGAGCGGGAGGACCTCTGGCACGAGGACTGTCCTCTTCTTAACAGTGGCTGCACAGCAAGACCATGAGCTGCAGGAACACGTATTCGCTGGCCTTCGCCAGTAACACTGGGAAGAGGCTGAAGCTCCTTTAACTGTCCCATTTCTCCTTCCCAAAATACCAATGTCTACATAATAATTAAAAAAAAAAAATCCTCAATTTGTTGAGAAATTCTTTATTAGAATTATTACTGTTAAGTGATGATTAACAGATCTGCTTTTGATATTACAGAAATCCATTGATACAATGTCACTGATAACTGATCCCAGCTGACACCAGCATCGAGGGTGAAAATACCCGTCTGTTAAGCAGCATCACATGGGGAAAAAACAAAGCTTTCACCAGCTGTCTTTGGATAAAGCTGGTGTGCCCTAGAATGCTTGATTGTAATGTGTTACATCAACCCTTTAAATATTAATCAAAAATCACACTGCACAGACCTCTTCTGCTCGAGACAGACGGTGTGTCCAATGCCCTCACACTACCCGGCTTCTCTGCAGGAGGAGAAAAAGCACCACCAAAAAGTTTTAGTGTTTTTCCTTCATGAATCCAAGCAGCTCTGACCTTCGGGTAATTTAGTATCACCTGAATTCAGTGGGTTTTGTCCCTGTTAAAATGACACAGTATGAGAGACTAAGAATAGTGATATGCATAGATAGTTCATTTTATCCTAGAGTAAGAATTATCAAATGAAAGTGTATCGACATAGCAGCATAGAGATCTTAAAAATTATAGACACGAGAGTAACAATGAAACAGGTATTTGTAAAAACAGAGGCATCTCCATACCTCTTGTTCAGGCACGAGCTCTTCGAATTTCTATAAACGTCCAATGTAGTTAAAAAACGCCCCTCTGGATAAGGCAAACACTGTTACTCCTTGATTAGCAAAGGAAATAAGCCACAGATAAAGACTGGAAATAATTTCCAAGCCTTACTATAAACCCCATGAGAACAGTGGCCACGCATCAGACAAAAGTAGGCTGTTCTGTATCTTAACAAAACGGCATTTTAATTTACTATTTCCTTTTTGCAAGAAAATTGAAAGAGTACAGAGACAGGAACGTAGAATCTTTTTGAAGTCAAGGCTGGATACCGTTCAGAGAAGAGAAATGCTTTGACCACTCACGTAAAGATGAGAAAACCTGTTTCTAAGAGTTAAGTCCATTAAAGATGGAATTTTAAAAATAGGTACTTCATCTAGTAATAACTGCAGCAACAAAGCTAGAGACAAAGTAAGAGAAGCTGCAAAAGAAATGGGAACCACCAACTTCCCTGCCAGCAAACGATGGGTACGGAGAGAAAGGCTGTGCAGCAGTTAGAGATAAGACCGGAAATGGGCGTGGTATTATAGGAAACTTTATTGCACCATCACATGTAAATCCCAGTAATGTCATAGCGATGGCATCTGCAGTTCTTTTTTTTTTAAATGAATATGGACACTGCTTGCATCTCCTAATTAGTAAGATTTAGTAGTTTGTGAGGATGTTTTTTATACATTCAACCACCAGCGTTCATTCATTTACTGCACATCATACTCCTCTCGGGGCTTCCAGGCCCTGGTCCTAGTGATTTAAATGTCAAATTTCCTACTTATTGGGTCGATGAAGTTAGGTCCTCAAGAACGGGGGCTGCACTTGTACTCTTCTACGTAGGAATTTAAATGGATTTTTTTTTCTTCAGTAAAACAGACATGGCACACAGTATACATCAGAATTTTAAAAACAACAAAAAAAAAACCCAAAAAACACCAAACAAAACACAATCAAAACAATAAAAAAAAATCCACCAAGATATTTGTTCCAGTATTTTATTACTTAAAAAGTTGATTGTCCATTGGAAATTTTTCACAAAGTGCAACCACATCTTGTTAATTATCAGTGACAAACTGTTTTTTCTGAGAAGGACAAATGGGTTAAAAAAGGTAATAGTAACTAAGAAAACTTAGTTATAGCACTAGAACAGAGAAACCACTAAGCTGAGTAGAGAAAGGCAGCAGACATTCAGCTGTCATAAAAGCAGATGATTTTCCACGTACCTCCGTATAGTACTGAAAAAATAAGGAAATAATAAGAGCTACAATCACCACCCTACTTGTTGAAATTGGTTTTAAAGGCTGTATCTGAATTGCCTGTATGTAAAAATCTGTTACTGGAAGTCTGATGAGACTCAAACGCAGAACCCAACATCTGCTGGGGTACTTATAGAACATTTACGACCTTAAATAATGTTTTGAAGACATTTATTTTTAATATACATACATATAAAAGTGATATTGTGTTCAGGCCTCCCGAATCATTACAAAATAACATCTGCTTATGTAACACTGTACCAGAACAAGTGCCAAAATCTCAAAGACTTAACTAGTTTTAAAAGAGAACGTAAGTTGATTTCTGCGATACCGGAGGAAGAGTAGCTGGTGAAGAAGTTCCTGCCAGACTGCCACATTATACTTACTAGTATATTTAATTACTTGTTGAGTGTAAAGCATGAAAAAGGGAGAAGAAAAAATGGAAGACAAAAAAGCTACCTGAAGGCAGTATTTTGTATTTTACATCAAAAAGCAACCCTCAAGTCATTACTCCTATTAAAAACCTAGAGAAACCCCGAACACTTTAAATAAGCTGTGTGGCACAAAACACGCCTGCATTTGGCACAGGCAGCTTAATGACCTAAACCAACCAAAACTTTAAAAAAAAAAATCCCAGTCAATTGGCTGGCTGAATTTCAACAAAGCTGCCCCCTTCCTTTTAACTATAAAGGGAAAAGACCCAACCTACTGTAAACATGGATTTATGAATGACTAAGACAAGTATCTCTTCTAAAAAGCTGGGCGATAGCTATCGTGTAGTAACTGTTTCTCCTCTTTGCCTAATTTGCTTTTGTATTATTTCTATACTGGTTTGCATTGCTTAATTATTTAGTTCAGGAAGGCCCTAATTTGATCAAAAAAGAAGTCATGTTTGTTTCATAACATTAGGAAAACTACAGAAACTGCATTTCCACAGGTTTCTGATCATAATCTGAATTGTCATCTTTAAACCATAGATTCAAGTTGTTAAAAGAAAAAAACTCATTAATACTTCCTATCTATAGTTTCATCTGATCTCTGTTCATCTCTTCTGATGAGAAGTAATAGTCTTTAAAAAAAAAAAAAAAGGGGAGATGCAAACTCAGAACACTTGACAAAATGATAAGTTACTTCTGGACAAGAAATGGACTGTACCTCTCTCTCCTCAATGCAATGACTCTTCTCAACTCTGCTACACATCTGGATTAATAGCAGAATATAAAAGTAATAAAATTAAACCTGAAGAAACATATGATTTTCATTTTTCCACTCAGAAACAGGCACAGACTTTTTTCATCAAGTGTGGCCAGAAAGGTTTCTTTAATCCTAAATTCATACAAATAAAATTAAATCAAATCGATCACTTGGAATCTCATAAACATCATTTAGTCCAGAAACCCAAGATGAGTTAGTCTGTCTCCCAAATACCTAACTAAACACATAATTATTTAAAAGGTTTTACTACTCAGTGAAACAGAAAGTTCAGTGACATCTTTTATTTTAGAACAAGCACTCAGTAAGTCACAGTTTCCCACGTTTGATACTGAAGTATTCCACAAGAGCAACCATTATGGTTCAATTAGGACCTTTTATCCAAAACACTTGGATTTTAGCACCTTAAATAAAGAGTCAAAGTAACATTTTAGTAGTATCGAATGAAGACAGTTAATACTGTGCTCATCCTGTGAAAAATGATGTAGACCATACATACTAGGTGCATTTAGTCCTTAACAGCTACTAAGGCAGAAGGGAACCAATTCTAAGCAATGTATTTGGCTGAATACAATCTGAATAATAATAAAACCTTCCCAATTATACAAAATCTGCCAAGGAGAACTCGAATTTGCTCCCATACATCAAACTTCATAGTATTTAAATCAAACGTTCATTTACAATCAACTGTGTCAATCAGGAATCTGTACCCTAAAAAAACATATAATCTGGTTATTAAACAACGTAAGTGATATGTCTAACTCAAAGTTTTAACTCTGTACTGTAACTAGTGCTTTTTCAAAGATTTAAACAAACTCTTAAACCAGTGGAAGGAGTTTCAGAGTTAAAGCTATTTCTTCTAGCTCACTGCCTAGATAATGGGGCACACATAACATGCTCCCACAAGCACAACTCTTTGGCGGCAGCAGCAACCTGAATGCCAGGAACGTGACTTTTCCTTTCATCCTGACACTGCTCATGTGGGTGCTGGAATTCCATTAACATCCCAGCATCACTTCTGATGGGTACGGAATCTCCCTTCTGCACTGACCTGGAGTGCATTAGCTGAGTATCTGCCTTAGCTTCTATCACGCTTCTAAGCATTTCCATGGATTTCTTGGGACAAACAGCACAGGCCTTGTTTATTTTGAAGAAACAGGCAGCCTAATCAGACAGGTCCTACGTCTTGTAATTTCAGGCATCTTTGGCCACTGCAACACTATTCTTTGCAGTTTTAGGCAGTTTTGCCATCTGAGCCTAGCCAACTGGCTTCCAAGAGAATCTTTGAGCGCTGTTATCGTGCCGTCTTAACAGCAGCTATGAACCAATGACCAACTCACACACCTAAGATGGATGTGGCTACTACGGATGAACATCAGTGTATTTCTTCATTTCCACTTAAGTTTGTGATGTTAGACACACAGATTTGTATGTTAATTTTAAACAACAACAAAAGCTTAAAAAATTACAAACTAAAGCAGTCAATTGCCGGTATTAAACATTACCTTTCCTGTAACTAAACAAATGGCCAACATTAATAAGTAAACTAGTGAATTTCAACGCAGGAGTCTTAACTTCAGTAATCTCTGCTTCCCCCCTTGCCCCCAAGTAAAGCCAGGAATCGTGGATATTTAGTTTCCCTTCAAGAACAGCAGGGCAGCACTCAGTCTGGTTACCGGAGTCATAGCTCCTCTCTCTGTTTGGTTGCTCGGTTGTCCTCTTTGATGCTGTTAGATTTCTTGTCCGTGTCTTTTTTCTTCTTTGCTTTTTCAGGTTTTGTTTTGTTTTTCACTTTCTCATTTTCTTCTGCTCCTTTGCCAGGATAAACCTGGCCTTCCAGAGTAACATCTGCACACCTGTCTTGATTTATCAGAAAGTCTTTGATCTCCCAGGCATAACCGCCATCACGTAGCATAAAGATGGCACGATTTGAGCCAACAATAAACCTAGAGGAAAGACATATATTTTTTTTCAGTTAGCTCTGTGCCTTTCAAGCACTACAACATTTTGCTTAATTTCTGCCTCCACGACTGAGGCACACATCTCAGAGCAAGAAGCTGGTCTCGTTGTTGCCCAAGGATGGGGACGAGAGAACAGTTTGCTAGCACATGTAAGAATAAAACGTATTGAGTTTACAAATAACCAAAGAGGGGTAAGAGTATGAAGAAAATGTAAGAACTAATTTGACACTATGTAAAATCCACTAATGGGCATTAAATTTGCCTTATACACTTACTGCAACCCTTCTCAGCCTCAATAAAAGAGCGCAACATTCCTCTGTTTCAAAATGATCCTTTCTCTCTGAGAGAAAAGTCACATTTTCAAGCCAGAGGAACAAAAAGTCTTCTGTGGTGACCAGTCTTCCAAGTGTGACGTTTTCCATTGAGCACATAAAGGCAAAACTACTGCAGCTAAAACTGATAAATAGCCGAAATGTAACGAGATAAAAAAACTAGGCTATACGTATTCATGCATAAGAAAAAGATTTCTGCACCACACCAGAATTTTTGTAGCATGACTTAAAACAAGTTGGCATATAAACTGACACAGAAACAAAGAAATAGTGATGGACAACGGAGGTTCGGAAGGGCACAGGACGGACAGTTGAAAAGATTTTCAGGAAGAAAGAAACGAGCGTTCTGTAAAAGCAAGAACGTTATCCTTGCGTACAAAGCTTACCTTTGCACATCATAGTTCGCATTGAAGAGACTGCCCTGCCACAAGCTAGTAATTTCTTCTGTCTCCTTTTCTGTGGGATTTCCTGACACCGTGACAAACATCATCAAAGTCTTCCCCTTTTTCGTCAGCTTCAGGATACTTTCAGGCTTGCCTGGATCAATTTTTGAGAAATCTATTGGTGCTGGAGGCCTCTTGTGCTCGGGAAGATCCCCCTCTTCAATGTCATCATCTTTCTGTTTTGAAAAGGAAAAGGCAGCCTTAAACTTAACTGTTCCACAAAGCTGTTCTTTTAGTTTAATGATGGAGATTCTCAAACCAGAAGAAATAGCGAGCTTTGTTTCAGGATACTTCACCAAGAGTGCTCTTTCCATTTATAACTCTCCCCTGAAAATGATGTACATTTTCATACTGACAGGCAGAATCTCATTTTACCATGTACTGAGAAATATTTCAGCCTCAAGGCTAAATCAATACAATTCCACCTAGGTACTTCATAAAATAACACTTTTTTTTCATCAGTTTCACAGAAATGTATTATGTGTACAAGATGAACAGAAAAAGTTGCATTAAAAAGCCTCATACACACATAAATAAAAAAGCATTCATCTGCATATTGCTTCCAGAGGTCAAAACTCACTTCTGGAAATCATATGATGGCTTGAGAATTTAATTTTCCTTACTTTGTGTCTTTAAAGAAATAAAACCACAAGAATTCAGAACTTCAATGCTCACGCCATAGGAAAATTTTTATTAAAGGTTTCATGACTTTTCTAATGCACAGATGCAGCTCACAGTCTGACAAGATAATCACCAAGAGTAAATCACTCTTGGAAAAAAGGAAAAATCTCTTGATGCCTCTGCTGAGGTTGACAGACATTTAAATATTTGGAAAGGCAGAATGCAAATTGCTGCCCCTTACAACAGCTCGCGACAGAGAGGAGTGAATACAGTGACAACCTACATTGAGTCAGAACTTGATTTCTTAAACAGTATTTGTACCATAGATTAAAAAGCAAAAAAGAGAAGAGAAAGACCCAGAAGCCTTATACTGGCATCCCCCCAAGCACTAGTAAATCAGCATGAATTTAGGCAGATATTTAGGTGTTGTTTTAACTTCAGGCATTTAGTGAAAATATGCATCACTCCATCAGGAACATGAATTGTAGCCATATCTAAAGATATTCCCTTCAGAAGCCTCCAAGGTCAGGAGCTGAACTCGATGTTTACATCTAAGTACGCATTACGTTCTCATCTCTACGCATGCGTATATACCAGCTCAACATCATCCTCTTCCAAAATCCCACGACAGGGAGCATCCCATACCCTTCAAAGGTTAAGTTTTCATACAACTGACCTATGCTCTTTTCCCATCTTAATTATGTAGCATTTACTGTCTTTCTGACAAGAGAGTTTAAAATTCAGTTACCACAGAATAAAAGTTGTAGAAGCCTTAGATTTTATCCTTTCTTTTCTTAGTAATTACATATCTGTTTCAATTTTGCAAGTCTGAAGCATGCTTTCAAGTCCTTTGCATTCTTTGAAAATAAAATTCTTTTAAGTGAACTGGAAGCAAAGAAGAGCCCCAGGAAAGTCCCGCAGCCCTCACTAAGTGGGAACACTGATTTTTGAGAAAGTTGGAAAATGCTCATTTCAGTTTTGAAATGAAATGGCAGAAACAAACATTTCCAAACACACCTTACACAACACAGAAATTGACTATGGATTTAGTGACAACACAACCTACTAACATTATCTATTTTTCCCTTAACTATTCAACTAAATGCTCATAAAGCTGTATTGTTACAGTTGATTATAAGAAGCAGTCAAAGACCCCCCTACATGAGACTTCTTGATCCTATACAAACTATCATGCAGATTTGTATTTATAAAGCTATCGACAAAGTAAAAGACTGGAAGAGAAGTGTAAGCTTTTGCTTTAAAATATCTAGTAGATTCATTCATTTAGACAGTAATATGAGGCAATATTCCTTCTCTTCCTCCTCCCCTCAGCTCCCATTCTCATGCATTTCTCATCAATGTCCTGGAATTTTATTTTTAAAAATATTAGCAACATATGTCACCTAATTCCCCAGCCTGTTCAATAATCTTCGCTCAGAGTCAAGCTTGAAAAACCCTGAGCTTGTAACAATAATGAACTATTTAAAGAATATGACATTTCAGTAACAGAAAGATCTCCGGACCAGATTCTCAGTTCCGTTTCCAGCTCCCCTGGACTCAAAGCTGCTGGAGAGTCCCTCTCCATGAGGGAAATCCCTGGGCGGCTTCCTTCAAGCTCTAGTTGTGCAACTGAGCTGCTGAAGCAATGTCTATCTCTTTTCCCTGTTCCCCGTGCTCATTTGCCACTAGATCACTCTCCCAGTTCACCGGGCAGTCACGCACATGGTTGCACCAGCGCAGTGCAAGGGGCAGCACAAGAGCCCGTGCAGAGAGGTGGCTGCTGGTTCTGGGAAGGCTGCTGGAGCCACAGCCTCACCAGGCCTGTGGCTGAACCCGAGGGTGTTATAGCCACCATCCTCCAATGCTTTTAGACTAACTGTCAGGGAAATAAAAAATATTAGGAGTCATGTCACTCAGTTGAAAGCAGCGACCCTTGATTCTGCGCAGATCTGTGCCCTGTGCCCCTTGCTCCTGAGCATAATTCCTGCTCTCATCCAAACTCATAATGGCCTCTTTGTTTCTCATCCCACCCCATCAAGTCCACTCAGGCTCTTTCTTCTCCTCTAT